GACAAAGGCAGAGTTTTCCCTCGTTATACTCCTGGGGATTCTCACCCTCAGGAGCACGGGGCTGGATTGAAGTGAGCACGGTTGAGGGATTCAATATGGCGGCACCCCGGGTGTGCCCTAGCCCAGACCTCCTGGCTGACGATGCCCACATGGCTTCTCTCTCCTAGAAATCAGCTCCTGGGCAGGAGGGTCTATTTCAATCCATAACCAAAGAACATTTCACTTGATGTGACTCCTAGAAGACCTGAATGCTCAAGATGTGCTTCTTGATTTGTAAGTAGGAAAACCTTTTCGAGCTGGAGATGATAGAAAAGGAGATGACTGTCTTAATCCAGAAACATTGCCTGGAAATCAAAATTGTCCACTTGCCTCAGCTTCATCTTGACAAACCCTGCGATAAGAACCAGCTTTGGAATGGAAGGGCTGTGCCTTCCAGTGCCTCGAGCTCTCTACTCCTCTCATCTTGGTCTCAGCTGACCCAGAGGAAGGTATTCAAGGGACCTATTACAAGGTCCCCTAACAGGAGTCAAACAGCTTCCACTTTCTTACCAGAAGTGGCTATGGCCTGAAGTAATTCTCTTTGCGTCCCTGGCCTAAGAGAGGAGCACTTAAGGGAGTCCTGTTTTTATTACAGGGAATGTGTGGGAAGATACCCTGACCTAGGGTTGCCGGACTTGGCAAATAAAAATGCCAGATCTGAATTTCAGGTAAACGACAAATAACATTTTAGTGTAAATATGTCCCGAATATTGTATTTTATTGCATTTTATTTGGCACCTCTGCCTGACCCCCATTAAACTTTAGGGCTGAGTGAATCCAGCTTGAGTCTAGGAAGGAAAAAATGGCTGCTCTCTGCTTCTTTTGAGGGAGGCTGGCTCCTCAAGGAAAGAGTAGGCTTGGTTGGGGGATAGGAGGAGGGAGGAAATTAAGGGATCCAAACTCTCTTGCAGGTCCCTAAAACACAGTTGTGGTGTTAAAAGATTGAGATGCAAAAACAAAAACCAAACCAAAACAAAAACCCCACATAAAAGGACCATCGAAAGTCTGGAGTAACGAGAACAAAACTCCATTAGACTGGGAGTTAGGAGGCCAGGAGTCCAGTCTGCTGTCCTACTAAGCAGCTGTGTGATCCTTGCTGAGTAATTTACCCTCTCTGGACCTGCATATCCTTAGCTGTAAAGTGTCAGCCTCCCGGGGGCCCTAATATTTCACTAGTCTGGTCCTGAGAACTGGAGCAGAACAGCAGAGTCTGTTTATCCGAGAAATTGAGCAGGGAGGCTAAAAACTGCCCCGTTCTGTCCCACCTCCCCCCGCTCCTCCCTCTCCCTGCGGTCTGTGCCACCCTGGGGCTCCTGCCGTGTCTCTGAAGGAGGAGGAGAGTGGAACGGCCGGCAGAGAGTTGACTGGGCCAATGACTTTCTTTGGATCAATCTTCCCTTTTCCTTAAGCCCCTTGATGCTTTTTGTGTGTCAGATTAAGTTTTATGTTATGATAAGACTCTCTTGGTTCAATTTTCTTAATTTGTGACATAAGTGATCATAGACTATAAATAGTACAGTTACACATCTATTTAAATTAAAAGACTATTGCTGATATAGAATATAAGGTCAAATTGTAAGGTAACACCACTGATTTTTAAGATTTTTTAGAACTTTCGGGGCGCCTGGGTGGCTCAGTCGTTAAGCGGCTGCTTTCGGCTCAGGTCATGATCCCAGGGTCCCCGGATCGAGCCCCGCATCGGGCTCCCTGCTCCGCGGGAAGCCTGCTTCTCCCTCTCCCACTCCCCCTGCTTGTGCTCCCTCTCTCGCTGTGTCTCTCTCTGTCAAATAAATAAATAAAATCTTAAAAAAAAAAAAAGATTTTTAGAACTTTCATTTTGGAATTGCCTGCAGATCCTTTGCATATTTAAATAACGTATATACTTCATGGTGACGGATCTCTGTTATTGGAAGTTCATTTGATATTTGGAACTGGAGCTAAATCTGAGGAGTGAGGTGCTCAAAGTGGCTAATATTGTTTCTGGTCAAATACAGGTCACGACAGTAAAGAAATAAGGCTGGTTTTCTTAAATTTTTTAAACACACTGATAGTTGTGTTTAAAAAAATTTTTTTAGAGGGTCTGGAAATATTCTGAGCAAGGGCAGAACTGATGCAGTAGTCCAGAAGAGCAAATAATGGCTGCATTTGACTTGTCCTTTGACCTCCATGCTTCTCCCAACTCGACTGCAAGTTCACTGAGGGCAAAGACCGAATCTCATCTGGATGTCTGCAGTGCGCCTCGCTCCCTGCCCTGCCCCGGAGTTGCTCAATACAAGTTGGCTGACGGCGTGAACATGAAGTATCTGCGGGAAATGGGCCTTCAGCAGCTTTCAGCGACTGCTGAAACCCGCTGATGAGGCTTGTGCCCACGAACCACATCCTGCTCCCCTCATTACCTGCCTTCTGCTGCCATATTGGTTTCACCAGAAGGGAGGAGAGGAAATGGTCCTGTGCCAGTTGTACCAGCCATGGGAAAATCCCACGGGCATAGATTATCTCACCGCCACTGAGCTCTATTACCTTTTGTCCCTCTCTCCTTCTCCCTAAGTCCTGGCCCTGCTTGGTTTTTCCCCGTCCTTGGCCGATTATATGCCTGGCTCCAATATCAATTATTCCATTTCCTCCCTACCTTGCCCCCTCCCTCTGCCAAATCCTCATGTGTGCTCAGCTCTTCACCGTTCCCATAGCCCCTCCTGAGCTGAGAGGAGACAGGACGTGCCTCAGCAGCTACCCTGTCATGAGTCATGTCTGAAGTCCCGCCAGCGAAGAAGGAGCAAGGAGGGTTGGGCCTTAGGGCGCGGGAAAGGGAAGGCATTTTCATGGATTGTCAGAAAACAGGCACGGGGAAGGGTGGGGGCAGTTTGGGAGTATCAGGAGCTGCTGAGATTACTGAAGACTAAGTTGATTAACCAGAAGAAATGTCCAACATGGGCCAGGTGGAGAATTTTTTTAAAGAAAGACCTCTGAAAGAGTTCCTTTGCAGTTCTTGGTTACAAATTTCCATGGGTAATGACCCCACACTGCCCATCTGATAACACTTCCCTGTTAACGTAACATCAACCTGTGGGTGAAGTACACCACACAGATATCCTCATTCCCATTTTACAGATGAGAAGACTGATACTCAGAGAAGTTAAGAGTTTTATCTAGTCACAGAGCTATGGAGTGGTAGAACCTGGACTAGAACCTAGCTAAGCTTTCGAGGCTCTGATTTGTAACAAAATATATGTAAAGACCTGTAACATCCACTCAGTCAGCACGATTATTCATTCTGACTGCTGGTCCAGTCCAGTGATCCGCCTTCCCTGGGTCTCATATAAGCCTTTATACTGCATTACTAAGTCATCTTCTCTAAGTCAGATTTTGTCTGGTCATCACTCTTAATGTCAAAGCACTTTATCCACATCTGTGCCTGATCTGTCAGCTTATGGGCTCAGCCAGCTGTCTATATGTTGCACTGACGGTATCAATTGACATCAAAAATCAGTAATATGGGAGGGGGATAAATTTGCAGGGAACCCGGTTAATTCTACCCTCTGGTCCCTAACCTGAAACATGCAAGAAAGACAAACACTCCCCAGTTAGCCCCAACGAGAACTTAGGAAGGAAGGATCAAACTGACAACCAAAAGAACACCTGACTCATAAACCATCCACCCTTTCCCTTGCCCGGGACCCCAAAACTTAGGGGTGACATTTGTAAACAATGTGGGTTCAAAGCAAATGCCATTGAAACCTGGAGCCCCAAGAAGACAGCACCCCGTATTCCCATGGAAAAAGCAGCCTCTCGCTCCATCCGCATAATATCCCATAAAAGAATTCCCAAGAGCCATTCAGGCTAATGTTGGAATTAGCAAAAATAAATGAATGTCACAGAATTTGGAGATAAGGAGAAAACCTGGGTGTCATTTAGCCCAATACCCCTGATATTCAAGTAGAGGAAAACTCCTACAGTGTTTTGTATGGTTGAACCACAGCATTTACCACAGACCTTGGTGCAGGGTCAGGGCTAAATAAATATTTGTTCAGTAATGGATGGATGGGCATAGTGTTTTGAAATCACACAGAAAGACAGTGACAGGGCTAGGATTAAAGGATCTAGAATATCTCTACCTTTGTTAGTTAAAAAAAAACCCTTAAGACTGATGATCATCAGGTTTTTTTTATGCTCATTATTTCATTTAATCCTGACAATAACCCCACGACGTAGACTTTGTTATACCCATTTTATATGTGAGGAGACTGAGGCCCAGGGGTAGATATATCTTGCCCAGGGTCACATGCTCAGTGAGTAGCAGAGCTAGAATTTGGATCCAGGTTTGTCCAACTTATAGGCACTTATAGATACTCCAAGCCCAACGTAGGGCTCAAACTCAGGACCCTGAGATCAAGAGTTGCATGCTTTACCAACTGAGCCAGTCAGGAGCCCCTGTCCAACTTATAAACTCAACACTCCACTCCAGCTTGTACACTCTTATCCAAGAGTCACTGCAGGGTACATGCTCTCCCAGCCCCAGGGGACTTCTAGAGCACCCTCCTTGGTCATCGGCACATATGGAGCAGAGAGGTCTCTTTACAATTTTCCTCGACATATCTAAGTTAATCCACAAATGGAACTTAAGAATTCAAGCTCCTCTCAAATCCATGATCATATCAGACATTTTAGAACATGGACTTAAAACACATGCTCTTTTCTTTATGCTTTTTCTAAAACGTTCTCATTTGAGACATCCAGAAATATCCAATCAGCCTAAATAGGAGACTGCACTAACAGCCATCCATAAAGTGATGGCCAAGCAAATGGACCTGGTCAGGGCTGCTGGGCCTCACCTCAGGGACCAAAGCAGCCCCTTCCCACCCTGTATCACTCTTCTCAGCAACCTATGCAGGTTTGCTCTCCCACAAGCCCTAAACCATCCCCACCACTATTCCGGGTCTTTTTGAATGGGAGCAGCTCCTTACCGGATATCCCCACGAGCCATTCCCCGCCTGGAACTTGGAGTAATAGCTGCTCCGGCTGGTGGTCCCATAGTTGTTGTAATTGTCGGCCAAGCCATCATACATGGAACCTTGAGGACAAAGGCAGGGGGTTAGGACAGGGATGGCCATGCTCTTCACTCACCTCTCCTCCCCACAGCATCCAGGTCCACCATGCCCCATGGAGGAGACCAGGGCTGAGCTCTTGAAGGGGGACGATAGGAAATATGTGTCATCCACTTGCCATCTCTGTCTCTCTACTCCACCTCCTTCACAGTCAGGGCCAAGGAAGGGCCCAGGCCAACTGCTGCAGGGACAGCTCTGAAAATCTTGGTTGAGCCCTTCCTGGGCTGACTGAATGTCTCCCTGTTACTTGGGGTCAGTTGACACCTACAAGCCAGGAGTTGGCCTAGAGGGCCATGGAGCATCGCCATTCTGTTCCAGGGAATCATGACTCCACATTCCACAAGGATAAGCTCCCCACTGGGGGAGGACTGGCAGGATCTCAGCATTCCAGGTCCAGCGCCCCGAGGTCAGAGCCACAGAGCAGTGAGGGCTGATGAGAGGCCAATTCGGGGCAAAGACTCTGGTTTCAAACCTTAGTCCGGCCCCCGCTAGTGACGACGCGGTCTTTTGTCACTTCCTTCATCTCCTAGGTGCTCCAGATGGTGAAGGCGGGGTGGCCACCAACCTCAAAGGCCCCAGTGAGGATTAATTAATGTTTTCAGAGTGCGTGGAGACCCACAAATGACAGGCTCCACAAGAGGACAGAGTGTCATTAGGGTTATTAGCGGCAAAATGGCTTTGAATCACAGAAATCCGAACTGGTTTTGGGCTCCTGGTGGGGCTGCCTTCTCTTCTCCCCTTCACCAGTGGCAGGTGGGCCCTAAAGGACAGTCCCCCAACTCTGCCAAAGCTGGTCTGTTGGCTGCCTTACTGTCCTTGAAACACGGCTGACCGGGACGCGGCCGTGACTTTGCTCACACCATGCCCCTTGCCGAGTCTGCCTTCCCTTCTTGGCCACAACGTTCAGATCTCACCTATCTTTCAAGGCCAAGCTCGGGATCTCATCCCTTTGGGGAAGCCTCTTCTGTCCAGCCCTGCCCAGGGCGACCTCTCCTACATCTAAACACATCCTTCCCTGCTGTCTGGACCCTGAGTCACATCCTGCCTGTGGTCCCATTCCCTACACCGGGATGTGCATGAGGGCGAAGCCAGGGCTCTATGGCCTGGACACCCAGAGCAAGGCTTGCCCCACACTCTTTTTATGTGATGAGCCCTCTGGGGAAGAAAAGAAAAGTGGGATCCAGCGAGAGCCTCCTAAGGGGGATGAGCACTTCTTTTCTCTGAAGGGATGGTCAGACTCCAGCATCAGAAACCCTATCTAGCGGGAAGGGTTTGACAGTGATCTTACCTGGCCAGATTAGCTCCTTCCCATCTGCCACATCACACCCACTCAGATTCCTAAGCCTTTTTAGGGCAGTGGGTGTGTGTGGGGGGGTAGCATTTGAGCTGAGAGAAGGAATAGCACGGTGGGGCGGCAGCTTTGGAATGTGCCAGGTGTCTCTGCCCGGTGCCATTTCCTCTGTCTGAAGCCAGCCAGAGGGCCACCCCATTGCATATAGGAGGGGGCACTGCCCCGATTCCCATTCCCACCCCTCCCCTGCCATCATGGAGGAGCAACAGGCCATTAGGGTTATCGGCTATGGCAGAGATAACTTGCCCTGAAAGCCTAGAGGTGTTGACATTGGTCTTGGCTCTGACATTTGGGCAAGTCGCTTGCTCTCTCTGGGCCTCAGCTTCTTCTGTAAAAAGAAGGGGTTGGCCTCTATATACCCCAAAGGCCCCATACAGCTCCAGCGTCCCATGGCCATGTGATTATAGTAACCCATGCATGCCCCATGGCATTCAGAGAAGCTTGCAAGGAAGATGGGGAGACATCAAAGGTACACCGCCACCTCCTTTGCTGCCTGCCTCGGGGTCCTCCCAGAGGTGTCCTGCGGGCCCAGGCCTGACTCCTGAGCGGACTCTCCTGAGCCTCTGACTTGATCCGAGCTCCCCTACCAAGTGCAGACAGCTGGTTCCTCTTCCTTTCTCAGGAAGCTGCCCCCCTGGAAAGGCTGCCTTTGTCAGGAGGAGGCTGGAAGCCATGTCATGGGCTCAGCCATCCCGACCCAGCTCACGCCAGGGGAGGGGCTATGGCCAGGACCCTAGGCACGCACGTCAGGCCCTGAGGCAGCTGACCGCCAGGTCTCGTCTGATTCCCCCCGGTCCAGCCTATTTCTCTCATCCCTTGCAGGGTTTGATGGGCCAGAGTTCACCTGGCTGTTGCCCCGTGAGCAGCGATGTCTCACCCAAGGGCAGCTGTGGGTCAGCCAGCTGCTTTTAGATAGAAAATCTGGGATGGTGACAGACAAAGAGTTCTGTGGAGCCCCAGGGAGGCCTTCTGCTAGGGGAGACATCCCCAGGAGGCTCAGGAGAGGGCAGGCTCCCATGGGGCCTGCACTTCTTCTCAAAAGGGAATCTGTCAGCAGTGACATCACTCACCCTCTTGGTCATCAGATGAAGCATCTCCTCCCTCCATGCCCTGCACCTGCCTGCCTCTCTCTCACATAATCTTCTCCATGTGGGAGGTAGGGAGTTCTCTACCATGGAGGCAGGGGTGAATAAGACCTCTGGAATGCCCTATCCTTCCAAAAGCCAGTCCCTGTGTCCCAGTGGTGACTTTAGTGATGACAGGTGTGGGCTATAACACTCACTTTTGGTGGGGCCAAGGCCTCCAGGCCCTTCCAGGTGGCTCCTAAAGGCACTCCCTAAGATCCATCTGCAATTGGGGGTCAGATCACCTGACTCCCACCTTAAGATGCTTTGCTTCGCTTCCTTGTGAGAATGAGGCTGCCATCACACCAGCCAGCATTGCTTCTCTGGCAGTAGGGTAGCTGCACTTGGGGCCAAGGTTCTGAGGTAGAGAAGGAGTCCAGAGAAGTTACCTACTTGAGGTCACACTTTGCATTGTGCCCGATGACCAAAGACATGCAGGTAGGAGGTGAGGTGAGCTCTATTAATAAGAGTGGGGCTCCCTTCTCCTGACCCTAGGGTGTCTGGCTGGTATACATGACCCTTGGAAAGTCAGGTTCAACAGCAAGAACATGGGGGTTCTCAGTGAGAGTGATGGTAATAGCTCTGACAGCTTTCCCTTCTCTATCGAGTCCCCCGACTTCTTCACAACTCATTTCTAGGGAGCCTTTCCTGATTAACTCCACCTGGTCCCATCACCCCTGGCTAACTGCCTCCTCAGAACAGGGGCACGGTCAGGTGCAGTCAGTTCTCCATCTCATGACTGTGCCAGTGTCCACCATCATGTACTTCGGGCACTCACTGAAGCAAGCATCATGTCTCTTCTTTCCCTGGGATTTTGGGCGCAGGGCATGGCTCTGGCTGGGGTGGGCCAAACCTGGACTGAGCGGGCCTTTTTTGTCAACCAGTTCACCCCTCATGGTGGAGGTGCTTAGGTGTCTGGAGGCTCCACATCCCCCAAACTGCAGCATGGGACCAGGGTCCTGGAAGGCTACTCAACCAGGCCCTCCTCCCATCCAAAGATGTCCCTGATGGGTGGGGTAATCCAGGGAGACAGAGGATCTGAGAGCAGCTCGAGAGCAGGCACAGCCACCTCCTTGAGGAGGATCCTTGCTGTCGGGGGTGGTAAGGGGAGGTGATCCCAGCACCCAGCTCACCCCACAGAATCACCCCTACTTTCGTAGCTGAGCACCTGCATTCCCACTGTTTCCTCCAGAAGGGTGCGCATGCCAGAAGCAAAGCGTGGGCTTCTCAGTGGAGCTGGCTGCCAGCCCAACTTGGGCATTGCCCCCAGGAGGCACAAGCCCACCCACAGAACCCCGAGGTCAAAGAGCAAATGTCTCTGAGAACATATTGCTTCCTCCAGCGTACGATCAATTCCAGCAGCTCTGTCCGCACAGCTTGTCTCATCTGTGTCAGGGTTTCAGGGTGTAAACCCATCTCAAAAAATCCACCCCTCTGATCATCAGCATCCCTGGATGCTGCTTCCCTTTGCTGCCTGAGATGATTATCTGATTCTCTCTTGTGTCACAGGGGCAGCGAAGCTATCTCGCCCACCAAAGCTTTGAAAAGGGAGGCAGCTTCTTTGTTAGGATACATGGACTGCTCTCTCCAAGGGGGACGGGCAAACCTTGGCAGGGATGACTCATCCTGTTGCACCTTCCAAGCTTTCAAATCGGTCACACCCACCGCACCTGAAACATTCTTTCTCTTCTTCTCAGCCAAACCCTCTCCCGGCATTCAAAACCTTGCACAAAAATCAGCTTCTTCTAGAGGTGACCCCACCCAGCTCTGGGCACTCCAAGCCCTCTAGTGTAACCATGTCAGCTTTCTGGCCAGCTTCTCTACCCACTTCTTGCTGGCTTGTGTGTTCCATGGAGTGCGGCTTCTGTACATGGGTGTGTATGTGTGTGTGTGCACATGCACATGTACTTACGGGCCTCTCCCCCAGAAAGCAAGGGGGCTGGGAACTCCCTGAAGCAAGAGATCTTCTGTTTACACTAGATCCCCACCCCACTCCTGATCCCAGGACCAGGGTCTACCTGGACAACGCACTCATGACTTCCGCCTGCCTGATGAACAGGCTGCCCGCAGGGACAGAGGTCATCTGAAACCCCTCTCCTCCACTCCCTCCTTCCCCCAGATCCCTCTCCTTTGCTAGTCAGGAGGGCTGTCACGGGGCATGCTGCACTGGATGTGTGTCTATTGCTTGATCTGCGTCCCATAAGGCCCATGTCTCTTCTGGCTTCTACACTGAAGTAAAGCCCATCTGCTCCTCAGCAAAAAACATTTGGGAAAGGAAGCTCATTATCTTTCAGCCCTGACAATGCTTTTATTTCACCCCCTGAAATCTCTTCCACCCGTGGTGCTCAGTAAGGCTAGGCCCATAGCAAGAAGAATTTAAATGAGGTACTAGGAAGAACTGCCTGAAGATACTTCTGGGATGATGTCCCTCCGAGATGGTCAAGATTGGGCAGGAGCAGTGCCCGTGGGAACGTTCAGGCGCCCAAGGGAG